AGCGTTAGCACACTGTGGTGGTCACCTTTTCTGGGTACAATACTCATCGCCAGAGCCAGGGTCCTTGGGGGGAGACAAGATTGGACAGTACCACTGAGGACAAGGGTGCGGAAGAGTGCCCTCCAGTGCACATGAGGATAGTGGGGGCCAGCGTGTCAGGCTGTGGCACGTGCCAGCTGGGGAATCTGGACCAGTAGATGGAGGTCAGGGCAGTAGCGGGCACAAGCTCGTAGCAGTGTGAGAAGTGACAGGCTGAGCAGAGGCCGCCAGGCAGGAATGGGTGAGGGAAGACAGTGATGATAGCTGTAGGGCTTGAGAGGACACCACCACCAAAGGTGGCACTTGGGAAGATGGCTAGTTTGTGAATGGTACTGAGCTTCCCAAGGCCAGGAGAAGCCTTGCCTTGGAATTGCTCTGCAGTCTGAGGTTTCAGTGTGTGCACACACCAACCACACACACACATGCATGCTCACACTTGGGCATGTGTGCACCTTCACAAGCCACAAACACGCACGCACATACGCACTTGAGCACCTATATACAAGACAGACCAGGCATGCTCCCTGTGCTTGTCTGAGAAAACATACATTTCTGGCCTCTTTCCTCTCCCACATTTGTCCTTTTAGTAAAGGTTCTAGAAGATTGTTGTGGTTTTGGGGGAAGAAAGCTACCAAAGGAGTCCTGGTCCAAGTTGCCCTTCTCTGTTGGCAGGACTTTGTGTTCTATGCCCCACGCCTGAGAATTAACAAGCGGATCCTGCAGCTCTGCATGGGGAACCATGAGCTGTACATGCGCCGCCGGAAGCCTGACACCATTGAGGTGCAGCAGATGAAGGCCCAGGCTCGGGAGGAGAAGCATCAGAAGCAGTTGGAGCGGTGCGTGGTTTGGGCCTGGGGCAGGGATGTGACAGCTGGCCTGCCTCTCAGGTGACCCCACAGTGGCTGTGCTTTTCCAGTCAGAAGAACATGGAGGCAGCACCCTGGTCCTGCTCAGAGCCCAGTCTCCCGGCCCCTCAGTCCCAGCATCAGCACTGGGGAGGGGAGGGAGCTGGACTCAGCCTCTGCCTGCTTCATCCTAGACCAGTGGTGGCGAATCTATGGCACACTTGTCAGCGGGCTGATGGTATCATTGAAAGCCCTGAAAGGTTCTCCATCACTGTCCTAGACTATCCAGGCGCAGGCTTCCAGATGACCAAGACACACAACTCCTACAGATGTGCCACCACATCCACGTGCCAGGCCTGCCAGAGCATAACCTTCTCTCCCTCTTCTCCCCGAATTCTGCAGGCAGCAGCTGGAGACAGAGAAGAAGAGAAGAGAGACTGTTGAGAGGGAGAAGGAACAGATGCTGAAGGAGAAGGAGGAGCTGATGCTACGGCTGCAGGACTACGAGGAGAAGACCAAGAAGGCAGAGAAAGGTAAGGCTGCACCATCCATGGTGGTGCTGGGTCTCTTATCTGTTCCCACAGAGAGGCGGGTGGGGCCTGGACAGACGCAGGAGGGGAAAGTTCAGGAGCATGTGTGAGTGGTTAACATGTCACCCAGAAACAGAAGCAGTGACGTGGTATTGAGACTAGAAAATAACCCCGTACTTGAATAACTTCTATGCTAATTTAGTTTTCCCGTAACTCTTTAGAGTGAGTACAGAGTGCCCTCCATTGTCCTGGTGAGAGCGCTAAAGGCAGCAGCATCAGCCTGCAGTCACTTGGCCAGTGAGTGGCAGAGCTGTGCTACACGACACATCGACCTCCTAGGCTCAAACCAGGGGCTCCCTGAAAGCCACACATCTACACATAGTTGTCCAAACATAGCTCAGTTGTGCCAGCGCCATTGCTGTTCCAAGGCTCATGCCCTCACTCTGCCCTCGCGGCCTCTGGTGTGTGCCGTCGCGTAGGGATGGCTGTTCGCTGGCAGCCAGGAGAGACCTTGGCAGGGTGTTTCCCTGTTGCAAGTGCAGAGGTGATGTGGGAGCGGGGGAGACCCTTCTGAGGAGTGTGGTACCAGGAGGGGCAGACCCTGGCTGGGAAGAGGGGTTTCTGACCAGCTCTGTGCAGTGCTTCCTAAGCATCTTGAGGAAGTCATCATAGAAACATAACAAGGAGCGATGAGGTGGCCCTGCGGGAGGCTCACCCCCTGTGACTCAGTCCCTGGCGTGGTGGTTCTGGGAGAAGCTTCCCCTGTCCTTGAATCCATCCTGGGATGGGATGGGATGGGAAGGGAAGGCTAGGGGCTCCACGTCCCTGGCCTAGGGCTTCCAGCAGCTGTGCTTTGGTGTTCTCCACAGAACTCTCCGACCAGATCCAGAGAGCCCTCCAGCTGGAGGATGAGAGGAAGCGAGCCCAGGAGGAAGCCGAGCGCCTGGAGGCTGACCGCGTGGCTGCACTGCGGGCCAAGGAGGAGCTAGAGCGGCAGACAGTGGATCAGATAAAGAGCCAGGAGCAGCTGGTAAGGATTGCCTGGGTTTCAAGATGCTGAATTATAGAGAGACTGCTTCTGCACCAACACCTGCCTTGTACTGACGTTCATCGGGGGCTGTAAACGGATCTCCCCAGGGGACAGGGACTTGCTGTTGTCTGAGTCCCAGGCTAGGAGGTTTATGTGGGCACCTGGGGTCCCACAGAGACACAGGGCGGCACTGATGGGCCTTGCCAGCCATGGTGAGAGGGAGGGACGCAGTGTGTCACGTGGAGGCCACTTCACACGCCCTTCCCTTCAGGCTGCGGAGCTTGCGGAGTACACGGCCAAGATCGCCCTGCTGGAGGAAGCGCGACGGCGCAAGGAGGACGAGGTGGAGGAGTGGCAGCACAGGGTGAGTGCGCCTGAGACCCCACACGGTCCCTGGGATGCCCGTGTGAGTGTGACTCCTTCCTCCTGGCAGGTTGGGAACAGGGTCTGGCTCGGCTGGCGGGACACAGGAGAGCGCCTAGGATGGTTCACTGTTCTTTGCCAGCCCAGCTGTACTCCGGGAGCAGAAACCCCCTAGGAGCAGGCTTGGCCTCGTACACTAGTGAGCATGGCTCTGGGATTAGCAGAGTAACAAAGGGCCACTTACTCCTTTCTGCCGCTTTGCCCCTGTCGCCCCGCTTGTTCAGCCATGGTCAGGCAGCCTGATGAGGAGCTAGTTTCAATCTGACTACTTGGATACCTCCTGCAGCAGGAGTCAGAGCCCAGAACAAGACCTCCTGACAGTTGGAATACATTTCAGGCCACCTTGGGAAACCCAGCACTAGGGAGGTCTCTGGACCCGAGAGTCCCTGCTCAGCCGCTTAGATATATAAGCTGGGAAGGAGGTAGCCTCACCTCTGAGACTCAGTCTCCTTATTGTGGAATGGAGGCAACACCCAACCCGAAAGTGCTCCTATAGGTCGGAGATCATGTGTGCAGCTCCCAAGAATTCAGTACGTTGTAGCTGCACTCCCAAGACGCGTGCAGAGGGCGCGTCCCTCCACTTTTTTCCCTGCCTGCCTGTAGAACAGCAGTGGGTCTAGATGTGATTCATGCCGACAACTTCGCACCAGGCCTTGGGAGCTCCTGTCCCCGCCACCACCCCTCTAGCCTGGTGCCTCCCCCTTGTTTTCCAACCCCCATCCCTATCCCCAACTACAAGCAGGAGATTCTTAGGATTTTGAGAAAGTGTCAAAAGCTAGTTACAACACAGGTCAGACTAAGCTCCTGTCCAGGAAGGGAGTGGAGGTGAGTGGGTTTGTACCTCACGAGGATGCTGGATGGATTCATGGGCAGGAAGGTGGTAGGTAAACAGCCCCCAAGAAGACTGGGAACCACATGCTGAAACTTTTTACTAGTTTCTTGCAGTAGCTGGAGGCTTTCTGTTCAAAAATGTATACAGTGAGCACATACTAAGATTACAAGCAGAAAAAAAGAAATGGCACTTTAAAAAATGTCCAGCTTCTGGCACTTGGGCCCTTGTGCCAAGCAGTGCTGTAGCTGCCAGGAGAAATGACCACCGACCCCGCTTCTTAAAACATCTCGACATGGGTCGTGCGGAGCTTCTCACCTATTAACTTGCTTTCCAAGGCCAAAGAGGCCCAGGACGACCTGGTGAAGACTAAGGAAGAGCTGCACCTGGTGATGACAGCCCCGCCACCCCCACCGCCGCCCATGTATGAACCTGTGAGTTACCACGTGCAGGAGAACCTGCAGGAGGAGGGCGCGGAGCCCATTGGCTACAGCGCCGAGCTCTCCAGCGAGGGCATCCTGGACCACCGCAACGAAGAGAAGCGCATCACCGAGGCAGAGAAGAATGAGCGTGTGCAGCGGCAGCTGCTGGTGAGTGCAGGCCTTGCTTTTTCCTTTGCCTGTCACCCGTCAGAAGGTGGGGTCCCTGATGTCTCAGGGAGGGCAGGCAGCTGACTGACACTGCTTCCTCTTGTAGACTCTGAGCAACGAGTTGTCCCAGGCCAGAGATGAGAACAAGAGGACCCACAACGACATCATCCACAACGAGAACATGAGGCAAGGCCGGGACAAGTATAAAACCCTGCGCCAGATCCGACAGGGCAACACCAAGCAGCGCATTGATGAGTTCGAGGCCATGTAGGATCCAGGGCAGTGCACAGGGCACCTGGCAGCGGGGCTCTGCCAGAAGATCCGGGCAGCCTGGGCACACTGGCTCTTTAGTACCCTAAATCTAGAAAGCCCCTCCCCACATTCCAGGTCCCTTAAAGAGCAGTTACCTGGGGGAAGTACTCCAGGCCGGGCGCCACCCTGGTTATTTTTTCCCAGCTGTATCATAGTGCCAAAAAGGCCTGATTTTTATAATTATCAAATCACTTCCTGTTGTATCCTTGGAGCAGGACTGATGGAATTAAGATGCGTGTAAAATCCAAGTACAAACTTTACACTGGCATGTGTGCGAGGTTCAGTATCATTAAAGCAACCACATCGTGGCTTACATCAGTGCCATACTTCTACTCTTGAAATAAGCTTATACTGATTGATTTGTTCTTGATTTCTATGAAGGATTCATCTCTGTATATTTACATATTTTGAGGTAAAAAAATTAAGCCCTGTCTAAACTAAAGCCCTGTCCCACATGCAGTGCTGTGGTCACTTGGGGTGGATGGTACAGGAGGACTCTGTGATAAACTTTGGGTTTTTTGCTTAAAGTTAGAAGAATACATTGTTGGACTTACACTTAACTAATAATCAGCTCTAGAGTATAGTATTTATATGTAAGTGATAATATGGGTTTGTAACATTAGTTTTAAAAAGGGAAAGTTTTGTTCTGTATATTTTGTTACCTTTTACAGAATAAAAAGAATTACGTATTAAAAACCACGGAACCATGGCGCTTGATCTGATATGATGGGAGGGTAGTAATGAAACCAGGTACTTGCTAGAATCATGTCTGTAAGAATACTCTCCTAGTGTTCTCTCTGTGTGTCATTGCACATTTCAGTTTTTCTGTGTAAGCTTGTCTGAAATACATACACGGTCAGATCGATCCAGCTCCAGTCCTAAGGAGACTCTGACCTGTTTCCTCTAAGAACCATTCCCATGCCACCTTTCCTAAGCCACTGGCTCTGCTCATCGTTAACCTTCTTTTCTGCGCACTGCTTTGCCCTTTCTCAGTTCAGACGTGTGCAGATACGAATTCCACGCCACAAACAAAATAAGAACCCTCCATTGTGCAGGGGTGGGAGGCCGTTCTGGGATTTCCCCGGGTTCGGCGCGGTCCCATCAGCCCTGCCCTGGGAGGGGCCTCTGGGCCCCCGGCTGGAAACAGCACCCACAGCATCAGCTGAGTGGTCTGTGAAGTTTCCACAGGAAAGCAGGAGGGACTGAATACTCAGCAGGCTTTTTTTTTTTTTTCTCTCTAAATGCATATAACAGAGCTGAGGTTTTCCCTGTTTGATTAAACATTGGGAGAGACAGGTAACTGCTGAACATTTATTGAAATCTGGCCACTTTCAACACACAAAAAAATCAGACATTTATGTCATACTGATAATTGCTGTTGAATACAGATATGGAGGGATATATTAGGCACTGACACGGAACTCAGTTGGTGTGTGCATGATCTGGAGGGTCTTGCTCAGTGGTGACCCCACGCCCTGCTAACCTTTGCAGGCACGCAGCATTCCAGCACACCCACTGCAGCCTGGAGCTTTGAGGCTTCACTTCAGTGCAGGATAAGTGTCATATCTGTCCATAAGTTGGGGCTAGAAAGAACTTTCTGCCACTGAAGCTTTGATTGTGAACATGAGTCTGTACCACTGGCATCTCCCTCTGTAATGAGACGGACAGATTAATGATGGTGGCTGAGAACACCACCCTATCCCTTCTCAGCTTTTAAAAATAAGGACTGGCGAGGTATGTTTCTCACTTCACCTCGAGATCACAAGACAGTGTCAAGACACCGAGGAGAAACTCCCGCAACAGCACCAGTGTTGAGAGTGGACTATGCTGAGGTATTCCTTAAAACTGACCCCCGTTTCTTTCCCTGTAGTGCCAAAGGGTTTGGTGGCTGATTCCTTACCTAGGAAAGTCAGCAGTCTTAATACCATGGCTCTGGATGGAGGGAAACCAGGTTTGTTCTCCAGAGTTTGTTAGGAAAGAGTTGTGCTTTGGACCTTTCCTTGAATAATTCGTAGGTTTCTTGAACGTCATTGGGGATGCGTAGGGTGTCTGGTTGTGGCCGTGTGTGGGAGGCAGTACTGGCAGCTGGTGGGCAGGGGTGGGGCACAGAACCCCCCCCCCCAGTGAACGGCTGCCCACACACAGTGCCAGGGCACCCCCGTGCTGTGAGCAACACTGAATAGTGTCCCTGTTTGTCCTACTCTGTGAAGTAGTTTGGTTGTTAAGATATTTTCTTTTAATAAAATAATCCTCTTACGATTGACAACAGAAACAAAACCAAATACTGTACCTTGCCCATTTTGAGGCCTATAACTTGTTTCTTCAGCAGATCTAAATCTGATTTAAATTGTCAAAATACTTTGCTGTATTATCGCTCCCTGGTAGAGTACACTAAGGAATTCTTGGCAGGCAGAGCCAGTTAAATTGCTGTTGTTCTGGAAGCATTTTTTTTTTTCTCATGGTACCCATGCAAATAAGACAGTCACTAAACATAAAGCTGTGGTACACAAAATATCTCACACTTACTTGAACCAAGTCTGGCTCCCCCCAGCAAGCGGTCATTCATTCCAAAAACGGCCTGGTCCCACACAGTTAATTCCAAGCTTGCCTGCCTCAGCTGAGACCTGGTTACACCATTGAACACAAAGGAGTGTTTCCACTGGGGACAAGCTTGCTTCTTCAGCACTGGGGACTTCAGACGCAGTTTTTGTTGGTCTGGCAGAGTGAGACAGCTGAAGGGAAACACATGCTGTGATCACTGCATCCACACAGCCCCCCTGCACTCCTGATACTTGTGCTTGAGTGTAAACGAAACACCAAGTGCTGTATCCCACAGAAATAACACTTGCAGCCATGAATTAGGATGGGCACTGCAAGACCTGGCCGTGTCCCTTTTGCTAGCATTTCTTTCAGAGCTGGGTTCTGCCTCAGGTATTGGCCACATGGTCCTCATCGTAATCTCTCCTTATCACCATTTGATGGCACAGGCTGTGCTACAGTGACCAAGGCTCAACACACATGATCTCCTTTTTCTGTGTTCTCAGGAAAAGACAAAAAGGCTAACAATTTGCCCAAGGGCATACACAGAAGTGACGGGATTAGGACACAAGTGTGGTTCTGTCTTGACAAGGCAGGCTGTCATCTCCCATTCCATCAGTGACGGGACTCGGCACTTCAATATAGTAATGTTTACTTTTCAAGATACGAACACACCTGCACTAAATAAAAGCTGGACTCATGCATGTATCGGCTCATCTAAGATTCTAAACTAAGGAAACATTTACTAGCACTACTTTTTTGTACTTGATTTCAAAACTGATTTATTGATATAACAAGAAGTAACAAGATACTAGCTTCAGGTTAAAACACTGTTTCAAATCAAGCTTCAGCATGTCCAAATTCCTGAATTCTTGGAAATCAGGGTCTTTACTAGCTGCCGTGTTGGATTTTCTTAGGAAACCTAAAATAAGATGCATCTAACATGGCTTATACCTCTTGGTGTTTCCTACTCAAGATAATTGGTAAACAGTATCTGATTACTAATACCTACCCTTTAACAAAGGAATTTAAGGTGCCATCTGACCGCACAGGTAAATTCTTGGCTCCCAGCACTACCAAACAGAGTTGACCATTAAGTGATAGTTGATCTCCTGGAAGGAAAGGACCATCAGACCCACTTTTGAGACTTTAGTGTGCAATACCACCACCAGAAACTCCTAAGAGGACTGTCACAGCCACCAAACCCCATGGAGCAGGTAGGAAAATGGGTATTTTCTCTAGAAGGCTCTACCTGCCCTGCCCACAAACTACCCACGGTGATGACGAGATGCAAGTGATGTGTAAGCCGCGGTAAGGCAAGAGTTGTAGAGTACAGAGGAACCCACAGAGCAAGGTGTGGAAGCTTTAGTCTGACCATAGCCAGAAGCTTTGGGGAACCTGGGAGTCCCAAGCCCATTTTAGGGAGACAAGGACGACCACGGGCTGCTTGCTGCTGGCCTGCTTGTGGCCTAGTAAGCTCAGCAGCAGAACTTCCTCTTCCTCCCAGTCACACTTTCCTCTGAGCCTTGCAGGTACCCGTGCCCTGAGAAGTTCTAAATTCCTCATCCATAACATGCTGTAGGATGGGAAGAGGGGCCGTGGTTTCACCAGAGACTGTCCAACCTGCCATTGGGAGGAAAGCTCAAAGCCAGTGTCCATAGATTGTCGTAAGTAGGCACCGGAGGCCTTGCCTGCTCAGTTACCCAACCCCGCCGGGCTGTGGGTTGCAGGGAACCACCTCCGGGCTGCCCCCACTTCTCTCAGTGAAAGTTCCTGGGGTGTGGGACCAGTGAGTGGACAGTCAGCAGGAGACTAGGAAACTTCCACCCCTCATCAACCTACCCACCCTCCAGGTTATGGGGATAGTGACAACAGACAAATCCTCAGAGGGCTGGAAGTCACTTACCTTCTTGAGCCTCCTGGAGCTTTCTAGGCTCTGCAGGAAGGACCAGTTTGGCCCGAACAGCAAGTTCTCCATTATTCTGAGGAACATTAGCTTCGTATTTCTCAGCCTGTGGGCAATGGGCAGAGGTCAGAAGCAGGATCACCCCCCAGAACGTGCTGCACGCCTTGCGTTGTCTCAGCTCTGCTCCCACAGGCTCCCCTACCACCCCTGCATGGTCTCTCAGGTTCTCTCGGGGGGCCCTGGGGTGGGGTGGGCATGTCTGTGCTGGATGGCTCTTCCTTCATCTGTAGTGACTCACCCTGCCACCCTCACCACCACCCCCAGCATGGAGAGGAACCACCCCAGCAAACCAGACACTGACAGGCCCGAGGAAGTAGGCCTATGGAAATAGGACAGTCTTAAGAAAACCTGGCACAACCTGTCTGAAAAAAGTAAATAAAAGCAAGCCTACCCCATCCCACCTAGGTCAGTAAGACTTCCAGCTACCCTTAATGCATATGAAGTTCTGCTGCAGGTCCTGGAAGTACCTGGCACTTCCAGGTACTGGCTCCAGAAGGAGCCACAGCCCATGCCCAAAGCCATGATGGCTCTTCAGGCTTTGGGTATCTGGTACTACTTTGTCCTGACCCGCTGCTGAGGTTGCCACTTTGCCTACCAAAGTGGCTTGTCTGGCCATGGGTGATTCTGTCAGAAAGTGAATGAAAAAACGGCCATAGAATCCCACCAATCTTTCCCCTAGGGGTTGAGAGAAGTATACTAGGAAGAGTCCATATGCTGGGGCAGATCCCACCAGCAGAGAGAAGCAGCCCTCAGGGTAATGGCAGAAGGCCCAGGACTCCCGAGAGCCCGCCTGGGCTAGCCTCTGCCTGTGCGGAAACATGGTATTTGGTTCTTGGGTGGCAGATGAGATAAAGCCGCTGCCGCCCTCGGCACGTAGAAAGCAGGCACCATCTGCAGAGCCCCGCCTGGGAGCAGGCCTATAAGCGCACAATCCCATCCAACACCAGGCCAGACCCATTAGCTGGCATCAGAAGAGGTGTTTTTGCTTGGCACTGTGCTCCTCGTCCACTTGCCAAGGAAGGCTCTGTTGGACAATCATGGTGGTGGCCTATCTTATACCAGGCTCTGTGCCAGGGACTGGCAACTGATATCTTCCAGGGCCTGGCAACCAATATCTTCCAGGGCTTGTCTTCAAACTGACAACAGAGGAGCAGAGGACACTGAAGGTACCAGGGATTTAGCCTCTGAAGACAGGGCCCACCCGCAGTCGGGGACTCCCAAATCAGACATCACCTTGGCTCGGAGCGGATACCAGCAGAAAGACTGTGTGGCATTGTCTTCAAAGTCCCATGTGGCCAGAGGAACAATCACTTCTCCAAGGAACACCCTTCGGGCGAGTGTGCCCAGGTGCCACACAGAGACCAGCAGCTGCCGGGTCACCAGCTGGGCAGGGTCCACCTGGTACTGCAGACACACAGGGAGATGGTCAATGGACGCCAGGGCTGAGCCCCAAGACTCAGCTGCAGCCAGGGTCCTGTGTGGTAGGCTGGGCCAAGCTGCTTGGAGTTGGGGCAGGAGCAGATCTCTCTGAAGCGCTCCCTCCACTCTCCTAATACCCTGTGCTTTACTGCCATGGAGTCCTCTACCCACCCCTACTTCTCAGAATAATACAAGGGTGAAAGTCCCTATCCACCCCAAGGCTCCTGGGAATCAAGTTGAGAATTTGCCAAGGTAGAATTTGAATTTGCATCTGACCAACACTACACCCCGCCAGGCTTATCCAAAAATGCTAAAAGTTGGGTCTTTATTTTTAAAAGATGCAACATGTTGGAGCCAGGGATGTAGCTCAGTGGTAGAATGCTTGTCTAGTATGTCTGAAGCCCTGGGTTCCATCCCTAGCACTGCAAAAAAAAAAAAAAGAAAGAAAGAAAAAAGAAAAAATACAAATGAAAATATAGCGTATGAGCTTTACCCCAGGATATTTTCCCCAGGTGGACACAAGGGCATGCTGGGCCTGAGTTGGCATTTTGGTGTCAAAATGTCCCTCTTAGGAGTTCACAGCATGGACAAGAGTGAAAAGAAAATCCTCTTCCCCCACCCAAGGGCGTGTTCTTGCCCCCAGGAAACCGGAGGCCAAAGGCCGCTGAGTGTTGGAAACTTCTTGAGGGATAGGCCACATTCCGAGCTAGCCAACTTTACCTCAGCCCCTCAGGGCCTTTTTTTAAGCTGAACAGTTGACTTTTCTTAATAATGAACACAAGTTACGAGACACTAAAATCTCATTTTGTAGCTGGATCTTAGATACAGATTGATCTTTATCTTTCACAAGCATCCTGTGAGGTCAGTACTCTTAGTCACCATTTTGCCCTTGAAAACACAGAAGCTTAGAAATGCAGTGACAGTCCCCCTGCCTGGAAGCTGCCGCTGGCCAGCATTATCAACCACTGTGTTTGCCATCTCCTGACCTCTCCCCACCGGCCTTTGTCCTGTGCTGCCCCCACCCCAATGCCTGCTGGGGTTTTAATCTTGAGCCCTGGGACACTCCCGCCTGTCATGAGGTGAAGGCAGGCGCAGTCACTTAAAGCTGGGGAGTGTTTTGTTTGCTGGGGTTTCATATCCTCTCCTGCACCTGTAGCCCCCTTTCCCTTTGACGGAGATAACTCCATCTCTAAAGGGAAGGAGTGGGCAGTGCGACCATCCCAGGCCTGTTTCCTCATCCTTTTCCCCATAGATCTTGCTGTGCCCACTCAGTCAGGAGTTCTGAGCCACTCTCCCTCTGCAAGAGCCCTAGCTGGTTTTACGGCTTTTCCTTCCAGTCACTGGCCCATTTCTGGGTCTACCTGGAAATGCTGAACTAACCTGCTTTTCCCACCATAGGCGTGACCACCATGCCCAGTTCCATTAAGCCCAGACCACTAGGCTGTGTCTGCTGCCCTCTGAGAAGTAAAGCCGTCCCAGGAAGCGGGTGAAGCCATGGGCAGGGCTGCCCTCCATGTCCTCCTCCTGGGGCCAGCACCCTAATATCCACTGCAGTGTCACTCACCTGGCAGCCCCTTGCTGACTTCCCTCTAACACTCAGACGTACTTCTTGAGTCCTCACCAACTGGTCACCCCTAACTGACAAACAGGACTGCTCCCTTTTGCTGTCAAAGAAGACTTATTTTCTTTTGTTTGGTTTTGGTTTTTCTCCGGTACCGGGAACCAAACTGACGACCTTGCGCTTGCCAGGCAGGCGCTTTGCCGCTGAGCTAAATCCCCAGCCCCTAAGAAGACTTATTTTCTACTGTTCTGTGTCCACCAACCAGCACTAGCTGCCCCTAAGACTGCTGTAGCCCCCACGGGGTCTAGAGCAGAAGGTGCCTCAGAGAAAGGGACAGGCAATGTCAAGGCCACTCAGACCTGCTGTCTCAGTTCATCCCCCAGACTCATTCCAAGGGTCCCCTGTGTGTATGAGGTTCATCAGTGCCCGGGGTCCCCAAGGGAGCACAGTGCCCAAAACATTTGAAGGCTGCATTTCTAGATGCTCAGCTTTCATGCACATTTTTTAAAACTGGCCAGAGGCCGTTCTCGTGGTCTCCCCTCCTCTTCCCCCACGGCCTCCCTAGGGCTGTACAAACTCCTGAGTGCCAAACCAAAGGGTGTTTTGAAATACTGGTTTCTATAAGCCTTTTTTGTTTTCCTTTCTGGTTCTGGGGACTGAACCCAGGACTTTGTGCATCCTAAGAAAGCACTCTACCATTGAGCTACATTTCCAGCAGTTTGTTTTGTTTTATTTTGCTTTTGAGCCAAGGTCTTCCTAAATTGCCCAGGCTGGCTTACATGAATTTCTTTAAGAATTACACACACACAAAAAAAAAGCCAGGCATGGTGGTTCATGCTTGTAATCCCAGCACTCTGCGAGGCTGAGGCAGGAGGATCAAATCTCTAAGACCAGCCTGGACAATTTAGCGAACTGGTGAGAACCTGTCGCAAAACAAAGAAACAAAGAGAAAGAAAAAGAAAGAGACAGAGACAGACAGACAGACAGACAGAGAGAGAGAGAGAGAGAGAGAGAAAGAAAGAAAAGAAAAGAAAAGAAAGAAGGAAGGAAGGAAAGGAAGGGAGGGAAAGAAGGGAGGGAAGGAAGGAAGGAGGGAGAGAAGGAGAGAAAGAAGGAGGGAGGGAAGGGAATGTAGCTCAGTGTGAAGCCTTTGGGTTCAATCCTTAGTATAGCTGAGAAAAGCAAAATTATCACATGATATATATGAACGGTTCCCCCAAAATGAATGAATTATACATTGCAAACATGTACCAAAAAATAATAAGTCTGACCTGTGTTGGGATGCTTTGAATTTATATGAGAGACATAATTCAAATGTGTCCATGAAGTTTCCCAGAACTACACAATATTCACAGGAGACTTGATAAAACTCATGAATAAAAATAATTTTAAGTGACTGCTTTGAGTTTCTACACACAATTTAGATAAAGTAGGCAAAACTTTTCAAATTGAACAATACAATTAAATGCTTATCTAAAACAACCTTCCTGTCTAAACCTCTAACACAAGACGTCTCTCTAAATATATGATGAGTAATTTTTGATAACAATTTAAAATGTGTGAGCTGGCACAATTTGGACTTTTCCAGATCCTCCCGACAGGTTCGAGAACCGCAGGCTGGGCTGTAGTGAGTGGCTGTCTGTGGCCCAGCCAGGCCAGGCCAGTAGCATCCCAGCATGCAATGGAGCTCGTGGGAACAGTGGCATCTCAGGCTCCACCCACACCCACTGAGTCAGAATCTGCAACTTCTAAAAACTCCCAGGGGATTCCTACGCAGATGCAGATGAAATTTGAGAAGGGCTGCCAGTCCATTCTGGCTTCAAGCTAAGTACTTCTAAGTACTCTCTAAGTCTTTTCCCTGTTGGAGGATTCTAATGTCTGCCTCAGTGTGTATATAAAGCGCTTGGCCCAGCAGGGGCCCAGGAAACAATGGCTATTATTATTTAATGAACTCTGAGCTCCGTTCTAGCCGCCCAGATGGCCCCTGGCTGGCAGTTCACAGACACCCTTATTTGCCAAGGAAGGCAAACAAAGCCCTCTCCTATCCCCAGCCAGCATGAGGTGGCGGGATTTCTGGGCTGCACGATTCTGACTGGGGCGTCCTCCAACCCTGGCTGCCCTTCCGGCTGGGGCTCCCAAAGTTGCTCTCCCTCTGCCAGGCCACACTGTGCTTCCCCAACCCAAACCGGAGTGTGAGGCCCCAGCTCTGCTCTAAATCATAATCTCATTTCTTAGCATCACAGCAAGTAAAAACACAAACAATTCCTTTATGATTTTCATAAAAAATGAAGAAACCTGGATTTTTCATGTATTATATAACAAAGAAGCACTTCTACAAAGATAGTGACTCACCCACTTTGTTTTCAGGGGCCTTTGTTTGAGCATGCCTCTGTTGTGATACTCATGCAAACAAACAAGACAAACCAATTTCTAAAATCACTCTGCGCCTAGTTGTCAGCCCGAGACACACAGGCAGCCAGGTTCTTTCCTCCCCATTTTCTTAGAAATCATTAATCAAAAGCCATTCACAAGTCCAGCAGACTCTGCACTTTTCCTGTACAAAGGCTACAATCTATTCTCTGCCAATTTGCCACTGATTGACAGAACCACAAAGAAATGCATTAAATGATATTTAACTGACTCAAGAGTATGAAAATTCCACCTGCTGGACTCCGACCAGTGCAGCCAGCCGGGATGGGAAGGGCTCAGGGCATGAATGTTTGCCTAGCAAGTACCTTCAAGGTCTCCTGAAAGGTTGGGTCCAATGTGTTCTTTTGGACTCCAGTCTTGCGCTTCCCCTGGGAGGACCTGTCAGGCAGCAGGTAGGTCTTTACATACCTGTAGCCAAACATAGAAGGACAAAATGAGAGCTCAGCAGGGGGCTGAAAAACAATCCCAAGGATTAGAACCCACCCATCAGCATTTTCTTTGCACTGCTTCCTTCTGGATCTCGAGTTGATAGAAAAGGCTGAATAACCAAGACTGACATAGACAGTATTCGTGTTGGGTGTTCAGCTTCTGATTCACAGGTTTTAGTCAATGTTGGCTATCTAATCCCTCTGGAATATTCCCGGGGGGAGGAGAGTGAAGCTTTCCCTGCCTTGCTCATACCTTATCCCTAGAATCTGTGTCCCCTCCTCTTCTGCCACTTGATGAGCACCATAGAACCTGATTTTTTAACCTGAACAATGGAGCCATGATCCCGCTTGCCCTGCCTCTACCTCCATGTATCACTGTGCTCTCACTCACAAGAATAAAGAGGAAATGGAAAGTTCAGGATTCACTTTGCTTTTTCCTTAAGCTTCAAAGACTACTCTTCTCCGCTGAGGGTCCTGTTTTTGAACTTTTATATCAACAAAACTGCTCACACATAGTTTTCTGCAACTCAGTGTATGAGATTCATCTGTATCACTATGTGTAGCTATAACTTATTCATTTATATTCCTTCATATGACTCCACTGTACAAGCCTACCATGAGTCACTTACCCTCTGGAGGAGCCTTTGTCTCAAGTCTTACTCTTTGCTATTATAAACAATTCTGCTACAATCATTACACTTGTTCCTGGTGCACCTATGCAAGGCACAAAACCAAGAATGACAGGACGTGTGTCTTTTTTTCTTTTGGGGTATGTGCATATAGGGGATATAAGGGGAGGGGTTTGAACCCAGAGCCTTGTGCATGGTAGGCAAGTGCTCTACCTTTGAGCTATACCCAGGTACCTCAGGGAATTTGGAATAATCTTTAAGAAATGGCCCCTCTTATATCTCATAATCTGAGGGACTTAGTCACACAGCATTGTTTATAATAGCATCTTATTAGAGCATGCCAAATTACTAATTCAATCTCTTTAAAAGATATAGGACCATTTATGTTCACTATTTCATCTCAGGTCAAATTTTGGTAACTTGTATTTTATAAGATATGTGTCTGTTTCATCTAAGTTATTATACTTATTTGCATAAAGGTTTACATAATGGCCTATTATTGTTCAATGTTAGTTTTTTCACAATAGCTCTTCTTTCATTTTTGATATCAGTACTTGTGTGTTTTATCTTGTTAAATTTAGCTACAAGTTTATAATTTCACTGATCTTTTCAAATTTGGGTTCATCAATCTTCTCCATAGTTTATCTCACTTATTTGTGACTTATCTTTATGATCTACTATTTGTAGAAATACTTAGCTCTTCTTTTCCTAGCATTTCAAGGTGGAGGTTTAAATGGTTCACGTTTACTCTTTTAGTATGAGCACTACTTTATCTGTGTCCCTTAAATTTTTAGGTGAAATCGTGGCCATTTCTGGAACAAAGAAATTTTCTATTTCAAATTCCCTGAAGCACCAATATATGGCATAAGTAGAGGAATAATAAAAATTAAAACCAAAAAAATAAAGATTATTGTGGAGAACCATAAGCGTAATTTTTTTTTGCATTGAAAAGTTGCTGAAAAATTTCAGGACAGACTATTTGATTGGATCAGCAGCCCATTCCCCTTCCCACCATCACTCTACTGTCGGCAATTAACACAGGGTATCCAAAGTTTTCCATGTAGGAAAGAAAGGCAAAAATGAGGTTCTTATATTAGGTCATACACAGAAAATCAATTCCAGTCCTAATGGGAAAGGTTCTAAATTTTTAAAAAATATATTAGAATAGAGAAGATGTATTCATAACTTCAGTTGGCATGGGAATTCTACACATACAAAAAAAGCAGAATTTTTTGGTTTTGATTTTTTTATTTCCTTTGTTTTTGGTATTAGGGGTTGACTCAGGGACTTGCGCATGTTAAGCATGTGCTCTACCACTGAGCTATACTCCCAGCCCCAAAAAACAGAGATTATAAAGGAGGATTTTCATAAATTCGATATTACCAAATTCTTTACAAGCAAAGCCACTGCAAATATATTAGAAAATAAGGAATAGCTAGGTAAGATATGTAAAATACATGCAACTAAGAAGAACTTTGAAAAACCTACTAAAAATAGATTTTAAAGCCAGGTGTGGTTTTAAATATAATCCTAGCTGAGATAGGAAGATCACTGTGAGTTCAAGGCCAGCCTGAACTATGTAGTGAGATCTTGTCAAAACAAAACAGATTTTTAAAAACATGTCTATGGGCTGCAGATGTAGCTCAGTGGTAATATGCATCCTTAGTTCAATTTTCAGTACTACACACATGCACACAAAATTTTCCTATAAACAAGAAAATGACAAACCAATAGTAAAACAGGCAAAAAAACATGAACAGAAAGAGAAATCTAAGCGGCTAAAGCACACATGTAAAATGTTGCTCATCCTTGCTAATAATCAGGGAAGTGCATATTTAAATAATGATGATTCATCATTTCATGTCTATCAGTTGGAAAAAATTTAATGTATTTATGAATTGTGTGAAGCAGGATTTTAATTTTGTTTCTCCTATATGGAAAGCCAAACTTCCAATACCATTTATGAAGTCCACTTTTCTCGCACTGATTTGTAATATCCCCTCCCATGGACTAAATGGTCATGTCTCTCTAAAATTCATAGGACAAAACCCTACCCCCAGTGTTACAGTACTTGGAAGTGAGGCCTTTGGGAGGCAAGAGGACAGCCCACATGAATGGAGTTAGTGCCCTTATTAAAGAGTTCTCAGAGAGCTGCCTTGCTCCCTTCCCCCATGTGGTGACAGAGGCAGATGGCCATCTCTAAACCAGGAAACTGACCCTCATCAGATTGAATCAGACAGCACTTAGACTTCACAGTACCCAGAAGTGTGAGAAACAAATTTCTGTTGCTTATAAGCTACCCAGTGTAGAGCACACTTTAGCAGCACATATACTAAACCACATAGTCTAGTCTTTTACAACAACCTGAATGGTCTAAAACACCCCTGACTATATATAAGTTCCTATATATTCTAAGGTCTGTAGCTAGACCTTTGATTTTCTTCTGTTAACCCATTTGTCTATCCTTGCGTCGATAACATTATTTGAATTATTACAGCTTTCAAATAATTGTTGAAGTAAGTCTTTTCTATTTTTGTTCTTTTTTGTAACTGTCTTGGTTATTCTTGGAATTTTGCACTTCCATATGAATTTTAGAATCAGTACATCTACCATCTTACCCAAAACTTTAAAAAAAAAACTCACGGATTGCACTTTTTCTTCTTTTCTTCCCCATAGGCAAGATTCTTACAGGTGCTGATGCATATTTCTAAACAATGAGTTTTGAAGCAATAACGAATAGAAAATTCTATTTCTCCAGTGACATTAGCGTTGTCAAAATTACCCATCTCTGTGCAAGTGCTGTTAATGCTAATTATGCTTCCCTGAAATTGAGAATGACAGATATAATAAATTGTTTTACAGTTAATAATTTTTACAGTTCTAATTTCAAGATATCAAATAAATCATAATCCACACAGAGAATATATCCTGGCTCACATTAAGTTAATAAGCACCAGCTTGTACTTCGCCAAAATGAATTGCACCCTAAGAGATGAGGCATCCTCAGAAAGCCCAATATTGCCCAGATATGGTCTCTGCCTAACAATAAAGGTTCTAAAACCCTATTCTTTAACATGGATCCTTTGGGATGAAATGGACTCACTCCTTCTGCAGGATGACTCTCGGTGGTGGATAGCATTCATGATCGGACAGCATAGCATGGGGCTAAGTGTCTGAAAGTGGAAATCAGATGGATTCAAATGCTGGCTCTGTAGCCCACTAGCTGTGTCAAAATCTGAGAAAAATCATGCTGGTCTCCTAGGGTTATAGTGTGGACTGAACGGAAGGAGGTATATGAATTGTGCAGTCAGAGGTAATGATAAATTGTGCTTCTATTTGTATGGGTACCTAAAAAAAACTACCATCCCGATCCAGGGCACTCTAGGTTTAGATGATAGAGATAAGGGTGCTTGGGCAAGAAGAAATAATTATCACTATGAAATTTGCTTAAACACTGCCACCATTTGCATGCTCCCTGTCTCAAAGCTGACTTCACAGAGAGAAGCCTAACTGACTTCTGCTTCTAATTCCCAACCAGTTCTTCCACATTATAAAAACACCAAGAAAGCTTCAGGGCAAAAACTCAGAACCCCTAGAGAGGAATTTTTATTTTTTTTTATTTTTAATTTTTTTTTTGTTTTTCTCCGGTACCGGGAACCGAACTCACGATCTCGTGCATGCCAGGCAGGCACTTTTGCCGCTGAGCTAAATCCCCAGCCCCCCTAGAGAGGAATTTTTAAAAAACCAAACCAACAACTCCTTGGAAGAACTGGACCTGCTTAATCAATGCTAAGCATATACCCAGCTTCACCACACCCAGTTGCTGGCTCTGAAAAGTCATCTTCCAATACTACATGATTGCTGCACAGAAAACAACTTTAAAACTCTGTATACTCAAGAACACATGGGATGATCAGGCAGCATGAATGAATGAGGTATAAAAGAGGGAACACTGGAAAGAATGGTTAGAGGAGGTTGGTAAAAGAAGTGAATTACTTAGAACACGGTGGATGAATGGAGGAGCTGAAGAATTCTGCTCAGAGAGCATTCTTCTTAGAACTTCACGTTAGGTTCTGTCACAGTAAGTTGTACTATGCTAACTTTTCTGTCAAGAACAATGAGCAAGCTGAGTGAGTTAAACAGTTAAACTGTTCTGCCACAGTGTAGAGCTACCAAGACAGCCAGGACATCAGGGTCCAAGAAGCTACAGAGAAGAGAAACCCGCTGAGGTGAGCCTGTTGATTTGTGCTGCTTTTCCACCTGAGGCTTTTTGCATGTGCAAGGAGCACAAGGTTAGAAAACAGAGAAGACACTCAGTGAAGGAGCTGAGAGATTCAGAAGCTGAGCACAGTGTTTAGCAGTGGGACAGGGCTGGGAGATAAAAAGTAGCACCCAAGGCCATGAAAGCATGCAGAACTCAAGAAACTAAGTTCCCAGAGAAAAGGGGCATGGATTGGAAAGTGACACCCAGATGCTGCCTTTCCACTCAAGGTAAATCAGCAATTCCACTTTGTTGAATTGGAACCTGTGGCACCAAGAAGCATAGGAGTAAAACCCATCATGACAGAAAGAAAAAACAGTTCTGGCTTACCATGGAGTAGGGCCTGGGGAATGTCCAGACTTTCAGAGGAGACCCTGCAAATGTTTTCTTACTAGAAGTAAGAGTCAATGGGGTGAGATCAAGGTCCTGACAAACACTGAAGTCCAGCTCTGCACAAGCTCAATCTCAGACTGGGGAAAGACCATTTGTCTCCACTCTAACTGCCCCTTGAAAACAAAAATTCCTGTGAAGGAAGATAACATCTTTCTAAGTCTCAAATTATCCCTTTTTTTAATATACACTGTCCAATATTCAATCAAAAATTATCAGGTATATCAGGACTAAAAAGGTGCCCAATTGTCTGAGCTTCCTCAGTCCTGAGAAATGTCCTGGGATGTAGCACTTGAAATGCTGGAAATTTTAGGGTAAGCTAAGATGGTTGCTCATACAGGAACAAGTGACTAAAAATATGGGAGAACACAACAAAATCCACAGCTGATCAGATACTGGCACTGTAAGACACGAACTTGAAAATAAGAGTGATTCATAAGGTCAAGAAAATAGGTAACAAAATAGAGAATTTTTTCCGAATACCAGAATCTACAGTAAAAGAACCAAATAAAAATATATTTTAGACCTAAAATATAAAGAACTCAAAAAATCAGACCCCCCCCAAATTTAAAGACCCAATCCAAAAATGGGCATCTGAGATGAATACATACTTCTCAGATGAATATACAAATAACAAAAAAAATTAACAATCTTCAACATCACTGGTCATTTGAGAGATGCAAATTTTAAAAAGTTAGACCTAAAAATTAGGGTAACAGAAATTAATGAATTTCACAAATTAACATAAAATCAGACACAGCTACAGGGAGGATTGGTACACTGGAAGATGGATCGGTAGAAAATATTTAGAGAGGAACATAGAGAAAAAGATGAAAATAAAAATGTAGAGAAATACTGTGTATAATGAAAATGTATAATGTATACTTAGAGCCTCACAAAGAAAAATGAGGGAGAAACTATTTCAAGAGATAACGGGTAAGAATTTTACAAGACTGACAAGAGATAATATACCACAGATTCAATAGTGACAAATAATTTTTAAATAAACTACCCGGCTGGGGATATAGCTCAGCAGTACAGTGCCTGCCTGGCAAGCATGAGGTTGTGCATTCAGTTCCCAGTACCAAATAAATAAATAAAATAAAATAAATAAAACTACCCACAGGATCATACTAATAAAACTGCTGAGAAGACAGTTTTTTGTTTTGCTTTTGTTTTTGTTTTTTAACTACAGATTCAACTCAGGGTTTCCACACTAAGCTGCATCCCCAACCATTTTTTTTTAAAACAGGATCTCACTAAGTCATTAAATTGCTCAAGCTGGGCTCAAAATTGTAATCCTCTTGTCTAGGCCTCCCAGAGGGCAACTGAGCTTGGAACTCAGAGCACTTGCAGACTGGCTGCATCTACCAGCTCCCTGTTTCAGGGGAGATAGAGCTGAGTTCAATTGGAAGGAGGTCAAGGAACTGAGGTCAAGCCATCAGAAGGCATATGGAGTGCTGCAGGTTGCACAAATCAGGTTTCAGCCTCACAGCCACAAACCAGCCTGAATTTAAGTGGAACTAAAGGTGTAGGCCTGCTGGGATTAGCCAGTACTCTGCTGTAAATCTACAGCTGACTTGCTGGGATTAATCAACGTGGATCCAGGGTCTGTCTGCCCACTTTGTCTACCAGTTACAGCAGAGACACACCCTGAAGTGAACATTTTTTCTCTTCTTTTCTTTTTTTCTTTTGTTTTTTTTTGGTATGAATGTGAACATTGTTTCTAGTTTTCTTGTCATTGTTGTTCCATTCTGTTCTTATTTTTATTTCTACCTTCTCTCTTTCCCTCCTGTCTTCTTCACCAGTTTGAATAATCTTCCTTGGTCTTCCAGTCTTGCTTCTAACCTTCTTCTTCTGTTTCTCTATTTTTTCCTCCAAATTCCTTTTAAGCTTTCTTCCAAGGGTAAAAATGCCCTGCTGAGGGCACAACTTTCTGGTTTGTTTTAGATTTTGTTACATAAACCATAAATATAGTTCATATGGTTAAAGGTGGCAAATTAATAGTTACCACAGTTTGTCATTCTCTAGGCTGTGTTTGATACTATTGTTATTGCTTATTGTACTACTTTAGCCAAGGTGACATATTTGTTCTAATCAGTTGTTCTTGTTATTTCAAGACTGAGATTACCTAAGGGTTATAAACAATAGGATAGACCAGTGCCAAAGAACCAGGAGCTAGGCCCAAAAGGCAGCAATTTCTCATCCCCAATAAATTGAAGAGGTAGGATCTTCCAATAGGCTTAAAACCCAAAAGCCAACTACAATTGGAAGATATTGTTGTGAAGTAGTCATTTTCTCATGGGTTCTAAATACTAGCAATAAAGCTATCTGCCATAAACAATTATAAGCATCAACCCAGGAATTAAATTAAAATGAAAAAAAAAACAAAAGAAAGAAAATGAGAAGACACTTAAGCAGCTGTGACCACAGACTTTCAGATCACTAAAGGCAAACCCAGGAGGTAATAAGGTGAAACAATCTGAAAGTTACTCATCTGGACTCTCTGAAGTGGTAACAATGGAAGTAGCAAAGCAGATGAACAAGGCTCTAGAAAAAAATCAAATCAGAAATAATTTCTCAGAAAACTGCAGAGATGGTAACTATAATGAAAGACATGATTACTGACTCTAGAGAAGATACAGATTTAAAAAATAGAGGATCTCAGGAAAATGGTGAAAACCATGAATACACAACATAGGAAAGAAATGAAACAGATTCAAACAGCTATCCAGAAGATTCAAAATTCCATTGAAAGTATATACAGCAGAATGAGCCAATGTGAGGACAGAATATCAAATATAGAAGATAGAATAGCAATCATGAAAAGAAAGATTTCTTAAAAATAGCAAGGGACCAAGACAAATCAATCTAGCAGCTGCTAGATAATGCAAAAGAGAATATCATGATATTGATAAGAGCCAATGAAAAAGCAGGAGATAGCAAAAATGACAAAAAAATCTGTTCACAGAAGTAAAGACAGAAAATGCCCCAAGCATGGACAAATAATTTGACATACAGTAAGTGAGGTATATAGACCTCCAATAAGCCATGATTAAAAAAAAACTACACCAAGGCATATAGTAGTCAAGATTCCAGAAATTCAACACAAGAACAGAATATTAAAAGCTGCCAGAGAAAAGAAACAAATCACATATGAAGGAAAGCCCA